GTGGTAGTAACTCTAGGTTAGTAAAAAATTAAGGTCATTTCATTCCAGATGAAACCTGTTAAAAACTCCACCCTAATCCAATGCAAATCGAATGCACTAGTAAATCTGAACCGGTGACACAAGGATATTTTGAGTCCATGGTTGGAGGCTATAAAGATTGTTCTCCAATATATGAACTACCGTGAGGAGTGGCTCTGATATCATGGTAGACAAACACGACTCTCCACAATGGTATGATATTGTCCACATGGCTTTGCTTTGGGCTTCCCAAAAGGTCTCATACCAATGGAGTTAGTATTCCTCACTTATAAACCCATGACCACATGGCTTTGCTTTGGGCTTCCCAAAAGGTCTCAGGCTTCCCAAAAGGTCTCATGCCAATGGAGTTAGTATTCCTCACTTATAAACCCATGATTATTCCCTAAACTAGCCGATGTGGGACTTTCATCATCCAACACCTCCCCTCGAACAAAGCACGCCTCCCCTTACTCGACTCCTTTTTTCTTTTTGGAGTCCTTTGTTCGACATTCGAGGATTTGTCAATCTATTGGCATGACTAAGTTTAGGGCATGACTCTGATACCATGTTAGATGAACACGACTCTCCACAATGGTGTGATATTGTCCACTTTGAGCATAAGCTCTTATGGCTTTGCTTTGGACTTCCCCAAAAGGCCTCATACCAATGGAGTTAATATTCCTTAGTTATAAACCCATGATCATTTCCTAAATTAGCCGATGTGGGACTTTCATCATCCAACAATGAGGTCGAAAAAGGGTGACAAGATAGCAGATAAGTCCTAACAAGATAGAGAGCTGATGATGCAAAAAGTGAAAGAAAAAAGTTATACACAGAGAGGGGAAGACGAACGGTGTTTCATTGGAGGAAGTAACCGGCAAGATCTACAAATTAGGTAACATAGTGCGAAAGACGAGACGCCAAAGTGGAACACAACAATGACTGGAAGCACATCACGGTAAGCCAATTGGTGTTCTTCTGTCGTGTATTCAAGTAGTCTCACCGCCGGCGGGGAAGATTTAAAGTTTTGAGTAAATGGTGATGTCATATCTCTCCATTTTCAAGTCACACTAACTTACTGACGCCTCAATTCTGAAGGGGTAGCGAGAGGTGCAAGGCCACCCAAATCGGGTAGCATAGTGAGAGAAAAGAGCGTTGGAGGATGTCGAGAAGAAATGTATAGGGTGAGAGAAAAGAACGTTTGAATGTCAATGCATGCATGTTACTTAAGGTAATACTTGAATGATCTATTGGGTTGTGTCACAATTTAAAGATGAAACCTATTGTGTATTCATATACATTGGGTTACTTCTCCATTTATAATGACGAGTACGAACACGTACACTATGATGATGACGACGACGACTCACGCTCGCACGTGTGGATTGTATGTAGAGAAGTAATACACATACAATTTTATCTAAACTTAAGGCCATCTCTATGATAGTTTTAACGATCCGTACTTGTATGTGTTTGCATTCCTTGATTCCAATAGTGGAGTTTTAAAATACTCAAGTCGTGTATTAAGATAATGGTAAATACAAGTAGCCTCTATACGGCTGACAATGACATTGTAAGTCAAGACCATGACACATGCATAAGATAATGATATTTCATTTCTAGACTTTAGATTTGGATACGAGATACCTTAGAAACCCGTCAAATTAAAAGGTATCTACAACTCAGCCTCCCATGACCATATTAACTTTCAAACCATCTTTTGTTTAATTTAAAATAATATATTTTAATATATATTTAAATTTATATTTTATTCCAGAAATATTTAATCTAAGAATCAATATGATTCTCATTCTAATTTTAAATATATATATTTATTTAATATATTATACTAATATATTAATTTAAATCTAAAAAAAAAAAAAAAAAAAAAAAAAAAAAA